GTTTGAATTGGCCTGAGACTGGGAGGGTTTCAGAGATGGGGAAGCTGGCGATGGAGGAAGGAGAAGAAGACGATCTGGGTAGATTCCTTGAAAAGAATGTCGCGTAGATTCTTCGAAAAGTTCCTCAATTTGGCAGAGATCGGCGGCCGGCACTGAATCGGGAAGAAGGTGATGTTGCTCTCCAGGAGATGTTTCCTCCGAGGGAGCGGAGGAAATGGCGGAGGAAGTACCGACCTGAGCAGCGCCGGCGGCTCCACCTTCTTCTGCGGAGGAGGTTGCTCCAATGGAGAACCCTGGGTTTCCCATCTCTGCCGCTGTTCGAGCAGGAAGGTGGTGGAAGTGGAAGGAGTTCCTCCCTCGTCTTCGAGCCCTGCTGCCATTGGAGGGAGGGGAGAAGCTCCTCCGGCGAGTCTGGAGCTGGAGTTACAGTGGCTACCTCGTTCTCCTTCTTTCTCTTGTCTGTGATTTGACGGCACTATCGGGCAGGAGGGCGGCGCCGCCGCCACTGTCCCGATCTGGAAAGAGACGAAGAAGCCCATCTACTGCCACCGCCCCCGCATGAGTCTAAAGGTACTCTCCTTTGCCAGTTGCCGGCGCGCTGTCGGCTTCCGCCATTATTACCACCCTCCTCTTTCCTCCTACGGCGTGACCCAGGTGAAGGAAGGTAAACGGAGGCGCCGGTAAAAGCTCAGAGCCCCTCCCTCAGCTTCTTTCTGATCTGATCCTCAACTGGGTCGAGGAAAAAACACTGCAGCAGCTCTGCCCAGGTCGATGGTGAACCAGTGCCACTCTTTTTTGCTCCATTCTCGGAGGAAGAAGAAGACCTTCGATCATCTGCCATAGCCATCTCCTTCAAACATGAGGACGAGCTCCACGAGGAACCCTAATATGCCTCTCCGAAGCTCCACCGGCGCTCTTCTGAACGGCTATGGCCTCGACGGAGCAGCGCAGGCGTATCAGAAAGGTTGGAGCTCTGAGCGCGTCCCTCTTCCCTCTGGTTCGAGCAGGAGACATGTCAGCAGCTCGACCTTTCTCCCCTTCAAGAACGGGAGGGCGATGCCATCAAAATGGGAGGACGCAGAGAAGTGGATCTTCAATCCCATCTCAGGGGACGCTCATGGAGGGAGCCCATTTGGGTTTCTCCCCCATTACAGCCGCCCAAAGTCAAAGAGCGGCCCCCTGAGAACTCCTGTCAGTGGAGGAAGCTCCTCCTACCTGCCATCTTCCCCACAGATGAGGGTTTCTGAGGAGGGTTCGATCAGGAACTTCCCGGCGAGCTCTCCATTCCTGACTGGCGTTCTGGTTGCAGACCATAGCTGCTATCGCAGTGCTGGAACTAGAAGAGTGGCTGTGCATGGCGGCGAGGGGATTGGGGTGGATAGAGAGGGAAGAAGACGATCGTACTCTTCTCACGCAGACCAGGGAACGGTGCGGTCTGTGGGTGTTCATGTCTGGTCAGATCTGTCCGATGGCTCATCTTCCTCTCTGGCAAGCTCCCAAGGTAAGGAATTCTGCCCATTTTCTTCACTCCATGGCCTGCGGGTTTTGCTTCTAAAAGTAGAAGCTCGAATGCTTTGCTGTCTGATGGCAGCTGATAGCAATCAGCTGTGCCCATGAAAGATAACTTCATCAACCAGTGGTAGGATGTGAAGATGGCATTTTCTCCTTGGCCTTTCTTTGCTTTTCAGCATTCCAGCGGCATAGATGATGACATTTCCCTTCGTGTAACCTTCACTTTCTTACATTTATCTGGCCTTTCACTTGGCAAATAGGCCAGAATTCAGATATTTTAGCCACATGGTGTCGTCATTCGGATATTTTATTTAACTTGCTGGATTATCAAGGCTGGGTTGGTCTAGAGTGAGATTCTTGGGGGAGTGGACGCATTTCGATGGCTGTAAGGAAGTGTCCATGGTCTGAATGATCTGAATTCAGAGTGGAAAAGAGCTGAGTTTCTCTCTCTTCTGCCAGCAATACAGGCAGTGAAGCTGGCATCAGTAATTCGTTTCTAGCATTGTTCTAGCACGATTTTTCTCATTAATGTTCCCTTTGGGATCCTGTGACCCCATTATCTAACATTATCAAAAACCTTTATTTTTCTCATTAATGTTCCATTTGTGGAAATTATTCATTCTTAAAACATCAAAAAACTATGACTTGTAACCTTTGCATATGATCCCTTTTCTTGTGCTCCAGCTTTTCATTTTCACTCATAGATTACAACTACAGCTGGGGGATGCATGTAAAAAAGCTTGATTTATTGTATGAGTAATGTATGAAGATCTCTGTATGAATTCAAGTCGGATCAACAGCGATGCCATTTTTAGTATGAACTGTAATTGCTCACCCTCTGGCAGATGATGATCTTGAGGGGGAAAAGGATGCGGCTGGTGTGTTTTCTCCTGAGACCCAGAGGAAGGATGTGGCCACACAAATGAGTCCACAGGGTAGCGTGTCCTCTTCCCCCAAGGGGAGGTCTCAGTTGTCTCCTTCTTCAGCGTCGCCATCGCCCACCATTGAAGAAATGCAGAGCCACTTCTCCAGGTTGGAGGTTAGGGATGTTCAAGTTGACGATATGGTGGTCACAACTGGGTGGTCCATGACCCATGTAGGTCATGCTGCAAACAAAGCTCAGATGGAAGCTAATTGGAAGAACAGTACAGTGGAGCCTAGAGCTTCAGCATGGGAGGTCTCTGAGGCAGCAAAATACGTATCAAAGTAAGCATATCTAGCCTTACTTGATGGCTATATACTTCACTAAATGTCCTGTAGAACACATCACATATCCTTGAGCCAACTGTGCTGACTGCCCAACATCTCCATGACAAGAAGTAGTTTATTGTACTTTGGGATTTTTACCTTTCAATATATCTTCATTTTGCCGTCATTTTAAGCCAATGAATCTCTATTTACTTTCACCCAGACGCAATTACGGCCATAATTGCCTGATTTATGTAGAAGGTTGGAAATCAAGTTCTGCACTAAGAACTGTTCACCGTGGGTAGAGTGCTGGAAATTGTGAAAATTCTGATTTTCTATCTTATCCTTGGAGTATTGAAAATTTATGACAAACATTGCATTTATGACAAACATTTCTCTGAGGATGTCTTTCCATACTCTTATATTGATAATCTAGGAGGATATAGGAGAATACATTTTCTGATATTATATATGGAAACCTTGGTCTTTTAGAACTTGATGCATATGGTCTTTGATTCATTTTGCGATACAAAATATAATGAACTGTTTGAAATCACTATGTAGCTTATGCAGTATATCGTTGTTAAATTGGGCAGTGGGGATGTCAGATATGGCTCATCTCGGATTTCATTAGAGGTTTTTGGTCTCAATATAGTCATGTTGGCACTTTGGGTTTTATTTTTCATTGAACATTCACAGTTTAGTGCTAAGTTTTCCAGGTTGAAGAGAGAAGAAGCCAAGATCACTGCCTGGGAAAACTTGCAGAAGGCAGAGGCTGAGGCAGCAATAAAGAACTTAGAGGTTTTCATCGGGCACCCTTCGCTGCTCATCCAACCCTTCATTCTGCTGGCATCTCCCTGTCAGCAAAGAACTTCATCACATTGTTTAGTAATTCTCTTTTCATCAATCTATGGTTTATAGATGCTCTAGCGCATAATCAACTCCATGCCCATCATTTCTCCAGACTCTTGAACATAGTTGTATGCGCCATTGATCACTACTTACTACACTAAATTAGAATTAACGCACTTAGTTGAACGTATTTTCCCATCTGACTCAGACCCTTTTTGTCAATTCCCATGAGTAAAATCTCTGTTCTAGTGTGGTGGTGCCATTGACTGGCCATGGATCATCCAGTCTCCCCTTGCAAAGTGCCTACTTGCCTGGGTCCGATCTGGTTCACCCACATCTTGGGCATCTGGCCTACTCCATGTTCCAGAGGGGACTTCCACATTCTATGACAGGCTTCTGTATGTTTTTTTTCAGATGAAGCTCGAGAAGAAGAGATCCTCCTCAATGGACAAGATCATGAGGGAGCTGAGATCAGCTCAAGGGAAAGCCCAGGAAATGAGAGATTCCCTTGCAGCCAGACAATCTGGTCAGGTTAGGGGGGCACCGGGGACGGGCCTAGCCTTCTGGAAGAGGGGGAGGATGGCCTGCTTTGGTCGCTGCTTCACCTGCCATGCCGCTTGATTTTATTGACTTCTCTGTATGTTATTCCATCAGTCTACCAATGTTGAATTTACCGCTAGATTAGTTTGATGCTGGACTTGGTTTTTGCACTGAAACAGTCAGCGAGACTGTTTGAAACCACAGCAGGCCTATCAATCCAGCGAACCCAGAAGGTGCTCACAAGTCCTGAATGCAGTGTGGCCGCACGACTCGCTCCTGAATTGCATGAATTGCATGGGGTGGGTAGGGTTCTTCAGTCCAATCTTGTCTCACGTCTTCTCTGGGTATCATTTTTGAGGCCTAATTCCAGGAAAAAACTGCAAGACTAGGTGAGGGAGTGCCTGCACTGTGGCACATCCGATTGTGACAAGCTCCATTTCGTTTGTGCCACCTTTTTATCCGGCAGTTGACCTTCGCTATTTTGCTAAAATGCATTCTGTGATGAAATGATATCATACTCTAGTTCCTGATTGGTAGCCTCTTTGACGGTGTATTCATTTCACAGCTGCATAGCTCCGGTCCGGAGACTCTGACTGGCTATTTCGCGATATTGTAAAAAGGACTTTAAATTCAGAAAAGCCACGATCTTAGCTTTGTAAAGTATACAAATGATTGAATATATCTACGAGGATTTTGTAGAAAAACCCAAGTAAAGGAAAGTTTCTAGCAAATTTTCCACTGAAAGTGTTGAAGAGGGTCTTAATAGTCAAATCACGTTTTAATTTATAAGTTGTTCCTCCATGTCCATGTCAAACTCTATACATGCTCCTACGTGAAATATCATATTTACAAAACAAAAACTTGATCAAATTTTATTCTATCTAAATAATACCTCTACGACTAGGTATAATGATTATTGTAAGACCCGATGTATCTTGTCACATGAGACTAATAGAGTTTCTTGAGAATTTATACCATTTTGATTAGTTTACAACTCATGTGTTCTTATGTCATAAACCAAAAGAAGGTACGAGGCTCTTTCTCTTCTTCTCTCTTTACATTTTTACAATTTTATTTGACTCCACATGATGGTGCATCTAATTCGTTAAATCTTTCCATGGACTAATAATTCACTATGTTTGTTCAATATATTGATTTAAATGCTCACTTCTTCCCTAGGTATAGAATACTTTCTTGCAACATTTTTTGACTTTAAATCTAGTCATGAAAATTATATATCAACATTTTTCTTGAACAAATAATTAATGCATCATGGGATATAATTCATATTTTATAACTTTTCATTTACAGGCCAATGGTCTTCTCTATCATGTATTGATGAATCTTATACATAAATTTCAATTTGTCAGTCAAAAGTGAATATGTGGATTTATCAAATGTTTAGAGTTGTATTGGTAATAGTTCAACTTGAAAGTTCATCCACTTATTCAACATTAAAATTTTAGAGTTGAAACGACCAGAAATAACTTCTAGAGAAACCTCAGCAAATATTCCTTTAATCTTGCTTCAATATTAACTTTGAACTGAGATTCCAGTCTTTTGATACGTAATTAGAAATGTGTTTTACTTTTGTAAACATGGTTATGAGAATGTCTCTCATCACATGTAGGTGTTGTCCTTTTTCTCCTAAATCAGTTAACAATATGTTCATCTGAAGGGTAAGATACCATCCGAAATGAACTCCCATTGACATTTGAAGAACTAATAACATTACAATTTCTTTTTAAAAAGTATATGATTTTATAGTCAATCTACTCTTGCTATAGATGAATTAATTATGGTTATTGTGTTACCTTATTGAAAGCGCACTTGTTTTCTAATCATTGAATTTAGGTAGAAGATGTATCAAATTATAAAAATAAATCTTCAAGGATTTCGAGCATTTTAATCTAGTGTAGTTTCTTCCAAATACCATGAATACATTGGGCATTGTTCAAAAGATGAGGCCATCAATGAATTCCTAGCAAGTTGAAGTTCTTAGATCTTCCATGTAACATGGTATTTAATCGTACTAAGGGAAGATAAGGTCAATGGATGATCTAGGATCCATTTATCATTTGAACACTTCAAGAGCTATTTTACCTTGAAAATCCAATGTGAGGGCTCCTAAGAGCTGGCTATGGAAGCTTCTACATTCTTTGATTTACAATGCCTTTATTAGGAGAAGATAACTCATACTTTCATAGAGTTATCGTATGATCTACTTGTGAGATTCATCAGTAAAGGACACCATCAATGATAACATCTACGCACCATAGAATCAGACAGAAAGTAAATCAGATCCATGTTAGCTCCTTGCCGCTTTCTATCATGATATAAAGTTTGCATTATCTCTAAATTGGCTCGAAGTACCAAATTGTATTTTTTTCCTTCTATCTGTGATGACTGTCGGATGATACCATGGAAACCTACAGATTTCTTGGTGAGGTCTTCAAATGCCGAAGAAGGGAATCTCTGGGTCGATATGCAGTTCAAAGCTTCGTAAACGCCCAGTACATCACTATGCTGCGGCCAGAAATGAAGAGCAGTGGTTACGTACAAGAGTCGGTGGAGATCAACGAACTCTCTTTTCTCCTCTTCTTCTTCTTCTTCTGCTGCTGCTGCTGGAATATCGCGGCCAGTTAGGCAAAGACCGACCAACAGTGGTGGGTCTCATCGCGATCTTAATGTCAAGTCAGCTAACTCTGATCCTTGTGGAAGTCGTTGGCCCCAGTCTCAAGCAGATTACGTTCCCAAGACATGGTGCAGATTAAAAAAAGCTATGAATTTGGACAGTGTTTCCAGTTGATAGATCACCGACATATTTTGTGGCAAGATTTTCTGGTTCTCTTGACCCTAAGAGTAAAGTCGATCCGCCGATCTCCGGGTAAGACAATAAAAATCCAAGCTTTCAGAGAACTCGCTGGTGTTCTTCTTACATCATAGGCATAAGTTCAACTGGTTACTCATGCCGGGATGACTTGCTCATCATACACCGAAGCTTTCAAAGAACTCGCTGCTTGTTGTTGAAGAAACATGGTCTCTCCCACCGTGGGGAAGAAAGAAATGAGATCCCGTGGAGCAGGTACGGGGCTTGCCTCGCTTATCTCCTCGTAGAGTAGTAGTAGGGAGGCTCGTGGCGGGGGGCCGCGCGTTGGGGCTTTTTGACAGCGGAGGGTGCAGCTTTGGGCCCTCGCTTCACCTCTTGAACAGTGTTCTCCGCCTACGAGCATCTTTCACGCATCGTTGTCAGGCTTCTTCTTACATGAACGGACGAGATAAGGTAAATAGATGTAGATGTATCCTACATTAGCGAGAGAGGAGAGAGAGAGAGAGAGAGAGAGAGAGAGATGTCTGTGTTTCCCATTTTCCCAACAGAGTGCGGATCACGGAGCCCAGGCCTCGGAGGCCCTTCTTCGGAGCGCGTGAGCTCACATGGACGACAGCCGTCGTGCATAGAACATCCGTTGAGCAATCGACGTAGCTATTAAAAAAAATGACGTCCCAGTCTGAAGGTCGCGCTCCGCAACAAGTTGAGAAAGCATCTTCTGCCATGTCCTTGGGAGATCAACTTCCGATTGCAGTCTTCTCGCGACCCGTGAATTTTCTAGAGAGAGAGAGAGAGAGAGAGATTGGGGGGGGGGGGTGAGTTTCGTCGGTATCTTCCCATTGGATACAGACACGAAGTAAAATGTGGGCATTGTGCTTCTCGGTCTGCAGGGATCTGATCTACAGAGAAGAGAGCCTTTGGAGGGTTGCCCCGATGCAGACAGAAGACGCGAGGCTGCCTCTTTCCTGGTCCCGTGGTTTCCTTTCCGAATAAAATGGTGCCTTCCGCGGGCCACTGGGATTAAACTTCTTACCCCACCGCGCGCTCGTAGACGCCCTCGAATCTGCAATAGACCCCACGTCTTATTTTAAATTGTTGTGGCGTCCGAGCCATTATCCTCTGATATTTTGAACACCACTGGAGGAGATCATGTGGAGATGACAGAACTCTCTCTCTCTCTCTCTCTATCCGACTTCCTCTATTTGATACATTTGAGGGATCCACCAACCCATATGTTGCACGTTTCACTCTCCCCCTCTATCCCGCTTCCTCTCTGTGATACTTCCGAAGGATCCATCAACTTAAATGCTGCACTCCTCTCTCTCTCTCTCTCTTGCTCTCTCTCTATCCTGCTTCCTCTATGTGATACTTTTGAGGTATCCACCGACCTATATATTGCATGTCTCTCTCTCCCTCCCTCTATCCCGCTTCCCCTCTGTGAAACTTCTAAAGGATCCATCGACCTAAATGCTGCACCCCTCTCTCTCTCTCTCTCTCTGTCTCTCTCTATCCTGCTTCGTGTATGTGATATTTTTGAGGGATCCACCAACCTAGGTGTTGCATGTTTCTCTCTCTCCCTCCCTCGATCCAGCTTCCCCTCTGTGAAACTTCTCAAGGATCCACCAACTTACATGTTTCTCCCTCTCTCTCTCTCTCTCTCTCTCTCTCTCTCTCTCTCTCCCCGGTTCCTCTGTAATGTTTCTCAAGGACCCACTACTCTCCCTCTTTCATGCTTCCCGACATCTCTTTCTCTAGTAACTCTCCCCCGACCGATTCCTTAGCCACGCGCCTGACAAGTCGGTACTAAATAAGAGAAGCTAATTTGCGACAAAGCATACGACAAAGAAAATATGAATAGGAAAGGGAGAAGAGTGGAAAGCAAGAGTGATTCCCCAAACAGTCTGCTCCCCTTCCAGATAGTCCAAACGCCAGGGTAAACTACGTCCACACGGCCCCGCCATAGTTAAAAAATGCGAAGAACAAACCGGTGGATCGATCTTCATTGAGAGAAGGTGAGCCCTCTGTGGATGGCGACGACGTACCAGTGAATATGTTCGAGGTTTCTTCCTGCTGATATGATAGGAGATAGCCGCCGACGGTGCAGATTCGACTGGTTCAACCGCTAGATAGAACTTCTACTCAACCATGATCATAAAACACTATAAATAGAGTGGAGGTTTCTCTCTGTTTCAGGCTTTCTTTCCTTCCCTCCGTTGACTTCTCTCAGCTCATTCTATCGAATCAGTTTTGTCGGAGAACGATGCTCAAGTCCGTCTTCCGAAGCCGTCACTCCTATCAGGTCAATTATTTTTCAATCATAGCTCTAACATTGACAGCAAAGTGAGGTTGACTTGGAGGAGATCAGGAACCTAACACACACTCGGAGGGATAAGAGAGGGCGGTGAAATTTCTCAGTTTAGCATAGTAATTCTAGGATGTGACAAATAAAGAATGGTCAACCTGCCAAAACTGCTGATCAAGGAACTTCTAAGAGTGAAAAGAGTGAGGATCAACCATTCAAATGCTATAAATGTAGATACTTTAAAAGATTGTGTGCGATCAAGTTAATTCCTGTCAATTTCTTCATTAACCAAAAAGTAAAGATATCCAGAGGAATTGGAGCGTAGCATATTATTCACATTTGAAAAGGGTCAATATTTACAATAGTGAAAGGCTAGTACTAGTGGGAGCATGACATCCCAAAGATGGGAAAAAAACAATATATGGGGCAAAGTAACCAAACTCAAATTTTGTGAGTGAGGAGCACCAAGGAAGCAGATTAGAAGAATTCTACGGATGGGAGGTTAGACAGCAAAAAAGGAAGTAAAGCTTGTCATATTGAGTCTACCAACTCTTAATCTTAATGAAAGAGAGCAATTAATCGAAATGATGACATGAACAAGTGAACTTGTGATGTTGGCCGCCCTTTGTTATCACTCCCTTTCAATCATCCTACGTATTTTAGTTATACCTTGGTTACATTTATATATGTCACAATGAATTTTAATGTTAGAGAATGAAGCGATGTTGTGATCAAGTACTTCCTTCATATGAAACCCCAACGCTTAAATTACTCAATCCTTTGTTCCTATGCCTAAAGGTGAGAGCATGACAAAGAATAACATTCTTAGAGGACATGACATTAGGTGATATAACTATCTTGTCAGCATATAACTTTCTAGAGGATTATATCATTCACATAAATTCTTATTAGCCATCATGTTTCATAATTTAATAAAAAATTTAATTGGATAAAAATGTAGCGAGCTATCTTCGTTTCAATAAACTGGAAAGACCTATGAGAACAAAGAGCTGCTTAGTTTTTGAATTTTATTATTTCTAATGAAAAAAATTAGGTGTGTCAAGAATTAAATAGTTAAATGCCTAATTTAATTTTCATGGACAGAACGTATCATTCAAGGATATTCAGTAGACAATTGAAGGACATGAACCTTGATGAATTTAATTTTTTGAGGTTTTAATCTCAATACATGTTGAAAAGGAAAGTCAAGTTTGCACATGATTGTGCCATAAATGGTGCAAATCTTACTGTTGATGAGACCATCTATCAGCAAATTTCCATTGAGATTGGTTTCAAACCCAGTGTTGTTTGATAACTCGAGCAAATGTTGTGTTCAAAATCAAGCTAGGCAAAGCCTGTGAAGAGTTGCATAAATTTCAAATCAGTACTCAAGTTGTGCATGAGGTAAAGTTCCAAAATCAGTCGAACTGTTTACGAGCTTAGGTCAACCAACATTTTTATATACACATCTTTTGACGGGATAAAACAAAAAACTTCATGATAAGACAATCCGGGCTCCTTTCTCCTACTATATTAGTGAACTTTGCGAGAGAGAGAGAGAGAGAGAGAGAGAGAGAGAGAGAGAGAGAGAGAGAGAGAGAGAGAGTACACACTGAGTAAACTGAGTATACTGAGTACATTGACTCACTGTACTCTCTCTCTCGCTATCTATCTATTTATCTATCCGTCCTGATTCAACTGCTAGCGAACCCATCCCAGACCCTCTCTACATTTGACCACGTCATTATGAAATCAAGCCTGTGCTAGCGCCACCATCAGCCCCGTGGACCTGGAGGAAAAGTCAACAGCAGCCCAAAAATCACGTTCCAAAAAGAAAGAGCGCTAATCGCTTCACGCGGATGATGGCACTCCAACACTAGCTGCAGTAGCAAGAACTCTGAAGATGAGAGTAGATAACAACCCAACTCGATTTTATTTATTTTATTAATCTCACCTCATCGGTAAAAGGATATCCCCAAGGACATAATCTCATCTATCTATTCGAACTTACGTCTAAACGTGGACAGTTGCTTCTGATATGGACAATTCCGTAGCTCTGGCTTGCTAACAATTCCTATAATAAGTATTATGAACTACGCATTCGGTAGCTTGCGTGTCAACGCTGACCAGGAAAGAAGCATATCAAGGGGCTTGTCACGCGCTGACCAACATAATGTCGGCCAACATGGTTCAGGAGGCGGGCGTATCATTATCAGCCGTACCGTTCTCGTAATCTGATTGCAGGATTCTTGTCTCTGCTGAACGATTTCGAAATGCTTTCTGAGACTCGATTTCCTGGAGAGGGCGTCCTCTCCCTATCCTGTTCGCTCTTGAAACGTATTTCTCTGAAGTTTCTGGGCTCTCATGCGCCACACAGGTCGCGGGAGAGAGAATAGGGAGAGAAAGAGAGGGAGAGAGAGAGAGAGAGAGAGAGAGAGAGCGAGAGAGAGAGGGAGCAAGAGAGAGAGAGGGGGGGAGAGCATCTTACGTTATTCTAACAATATTGAGACAACCTTACAAAGAAAGGGGAAGAGATCGAGAGTGGATCTCATCGAATTCATAAAACTGTGTCCTAAGGACGTGGGGAGAGGGGAGAGAAGAGAGAGAGAGAGAGAGAGAGAGAGAGAGCATCTTTGTTCTTCTCATCCTGCAGAACCCTTTGGAAGAAGAGAGAGAAGTCACGGGTGTCTAGGAAGTATCTCCACTTTCTCTCTCTCCCCCTCTCACACAGACGTCTGCCTATTCTCTGTTTCCTTCTACACATCCCTCAATACTTCTCTCTCCGAACAGTCCCCCAGATACCACCAATCACACAGAATCCAGAAAGTCCGGGGAAGACTACAAATAAACCCCTCACTCCCTCACATGCTCGCCCTCTCTTTCTCTCTCTAGACACAGACACTAAGGACAGGCCAATGGCACCCCCAGCAGCATTTCAGTACATGCTACCCATCTCTTTCTCTCTCTAGACAGAGACACTAAGTAGAGGCAAATGGCACCCCCAGCAACATTTCAAGGGACCTCGCCCATGAAGTCCTGCGGCGGCGGAAGGGACAGCAGCTTGCTGGCGGCGGAGGGAAACAAGGCGGCGGCGGCGGCGGCGCCGGCACCGTTCCTGACGAAGACTTACCAGCTGGTGGACGACCCCGCCACCGATCACATCGTTTCATGGGGGGATGACTTCTCCACCTTCGTCGTCTGGCGTCCTCCCGAGTTCGCCCGCGACCTCCTCCCCAACTACTTCAAGCACAACAACTTCTCCTCCTTCGTCCGCCAGCTCAATACCTACGTATGCCCATCTCTCTCTCTCTCTCTCTCTCTCTCTCTCTCTCTCTCTCTATACCCACCAACTCTGAGAGTGTTTCTGTATGTTCTATGATCAGGGATTCAGGAAGATAGTGCCGGAGAGATGGGAGTTCGCCAACGAGTTCTTCCGCAAGGGAGAGAAGCATCTCCTCTGCGAGATCCACCGCAGGAAGGCAGCTTCCTCTTCTTCCTCGCTGCCTCTGGCCAACGTTCCCCTCCACCTCCCCTTCCATCACCATCCCTCCTACTTGATCGGGGCCCGCGCCGTCTTAGCCAACCCAGATGGGAAAACCCTAACCAGGGACTGGTGCGACTCCACCACGTCCTCCGACCTTCTGGAGGAGAACGAGAAGCTCCGGCGAGCCAACATGGCGCTTCTGTCGGAGCTGTCCCATATGCGGGAACTCTACAGCGACATCATATACTTTGTGCAGAACCATGTCCGCCCCGTTGCACCCAGCGGCGCCTTCCCTCCTTCCATTCTAGCTCCACCGCCTCCGCCGTCGACGGCCGGGAAGCCCCCCATCGCCGCCGTGAACCGGCCCAAAGTTTGCTTCAACTGGAGCAGCGCCACCTCTAGCAGCTCCCTAACAGTGAACAACAGCAGCAACAGCGGCGACGAAGACAGCTGGGACGATGACAGCAAGGGGGGCATCGATCGCCCTAGCGGCGCTCCGGCGAGGCTCGCCGGACTTTCTCTCGGCAGCGCTTTCAACAAGAGACCGCCGCTTGAAGAACCCTCATCGCCGCCGTCTCCAGCCACCAAGTCCCGCCGCTTTATCGATGACAAAAACTGGAACTTGGGATTATACCTCGGCCCTCCTCCTCCTCCCTCTTAAGCTAACTATATTGCTGCTGTTTCCATCACTCCGCCGGATTTCTCAGCCAGGAATTGATAGAGACCCTTTTTTTTCCGTCATCTTCTTAACTGTATATATATAAGCAATGTCCTGCCGTGGATCTCAATATCCTTCTCCGTCTCAAGAGCTCCACTTCAATGGAAGTTCCAGTGGGCATCTCTGGTTCATCCTGCGTTTATTGGCATTCATCCAGTGTTCTGAGACCGACTGATACTCGGGGATGGGTGATTATTCTTCTCGGGAACTCGCCGTTTGGAAAGGAAGATCTTGTGCATCCCGGATCCTCCCCAGAAGGGCCACTTCTGCAGCAGAAAGAGCAGGATAACAGAACTGGCAGTGGGTTGAGAGGAATCGAGTTCCGTTAATGAGGCTTCGCTGGAGTTTTCAAGCCGGAGAAGAGGGGAGATGCTGTTCCCAAAAGATTCTCCCTCTCAGGAACCTCGCACTTATCGATATTGAGTGAAAGAGAGAGAGGAGAGAGAGACGAGAGAGAGAGGAGAGAGAGAGGAGAGAGAGAGAGAGAGAGAGAGAGAGAGAGAGAGAGAGAGAGAGAGAGAGAGAGAGAGAGAGAGAGAGAGAGAGAGAGAGAGAGAGTGAGTGAGTCTGAGAGAGAGAGACAGAGAGAGAGAGAGAGAGAGAGAGAGGGTGCGAGAGAGAGAGAGTGAGAGAGAGAGTGAGTGAGAGAGTGAAAAAGTGTGTGAGAGAGAGAGTGAGTGAGAGAGAGATAGAGTGAGAGAGTGAAAAAGTGTGTGATAGAGAGAGTGAGAGAGAGTGAGAGAGAGGCGGCCGCCTATTCCGCAGCTTGGGTGATTGAAGAGAGCGTGCGTGAAAAAGAGGATAGAAGCTGCAATGTTTGTTTCCTCCGCTTTCGTTCTCTCGGGGCGTTCTCCTGGAAAAGGAATACTACTTCCACCCATTCATCGCCAGCCGAGAAGACAGCGAGGTCAAATCAGCAGGCCTGTTGGTGGGTCCCCTCGTCTATCCATTATGAACAAAACACGAGCAAGTTCTTGCTCCGGAGGGCCTTCGCCTGCACGCTGTAAGCTGTCCTCCTTTGTTCTTTAGTTAGCCAGCTGATTCACGAGAGAGAGAGAGAGACAGAGTGAGAGAGAGACAGACAGAGCGACAGAGAGACAGAGACAGTGAGAGATGAAGAGAGAAAGAAGAGCACGAGAAGGAGAAAGCGACGTGGGAAACGCCATTAATGGCTAGAAAGTTCTTGGAACGCGTCAACGCTGGCGAGTCCTCTCCAAGGACAGCCGATGGGCCAGGCCAGACCAGAGTGCTGCATCAGGCCAGTCCATTTTCGTCACACTCTCACCTACATAGCCTAAAGAGGAGAAAAAGCCCTTTGAGGGTGGATGATGAGCTCAAGTAGCCCGGCCTGCTCTTTCCTGCAACCTCGAGAGCCAAGAAAGGTACCAATGGACTCCGTTGAGAGGGTATCTTCCTCATCTATAACCTTACCATGAGTCTAGGACCAACTCAAGGATATTATGTCGTGAGATATTTGAAAAGGTGCAACTCTTTCTGATGTAGAACACAACTTCAACAAATGAGAAAGACTTAAAAGTGGTGACCTCAATGACCAAAAGAATGTAGAACGCCACTAAGTTTTGAAGTCTCAAAATCAATCAACCCACATGAATAAGGTATCAATTTCATTGGACAAATAACTATTTATGCTATTACTTCATTATTGTGTTATTTTTTCTGTTGATCTGATTTTTTAAGGGAGTAATAATTAAATTTGCCTATTTAAGGACCATAATGTTGAAACATCAGGGTGTAAGTAATAGTAGAATTTTTTCTCTCTCAAAAGACTTCTCCCTGCCAATGGATTCAAGTAGTTCTAGTAGATTCATGAGGCATCCTTCTACTCATTACAAAGTGAAGGATCATCCAAAATTATCTTGTGGACTAAGGATTAATAATCTTCTGTATACTCAATTTCATGGTCTAATTTCATTCTTCTAATACTAGCATTGTTTCAAGTAGTATCATACCTTAGTTCTAAGTCCTATATGCATTCAGCCCAAGATGTCCTATGAACATGATAGATAATCTTTCTAATGGTATTGGTTGTGATGTGGGCATTCTATTTAGAGTAGATTCTTTGAGTTTCAATAGAATGTTAGTCAAGGAATTTCAGGATTTGCAAATAGTGAGAATGACTACAAGTGGCATACATCTCTCAAATGAGGAATAGTTATTTTTGAAAAAGTATACACAAGAGGAAGAGAATGATACATTTGAACTTGAAGAGGATGAAATTACTGAAGGTTATGAGAGAGAAATCTTATTAAATTTCCCATTCGTTGGTCATCATGGTCTTATGTTTATACTAAAGCAAGAACATCTATAACATCACAACTTTTGTCTAATGTGGTGCATACATAACATGAAAGTATGTAAGATTGTCATTGGTAGCTTGTCAAATTTTCAATTGGGAAACATATTTAGAAGAAGTTATAAGGGTAGATTATATTGATGCATTTCACATTATTTTGAGAAGGACCTATGTGATTGTCATTTATCCAACTCATCTAGATAACATACTTCTTTTATGGAAATGGCTGTAAAATTGTCTTATACAAAATATTTTATAGGAGTTAATGATGACAAGAGACTTACCTAGTCATCTTTCACTTGTGAGAGATTCACCATCACGTTGCGTTGATTTTTCAAGCAAGTTCAATTTGCCTCACTACAAGATGAATCCATATGAGAGACAAGTTTTACAAGAATAGACTGATGGGCTATTCATGAAACGACTAATAATGCAAAATAATATTCTTGAAACATTATTCAATTTGAATCTACACAAAATCCTTTATCTTAAATTACTAATATAGGAGATTTAAATAGTTTCCTTCCACATATATGAGAGTTATTCAATATCATATTGACTTGATTATTAAAATAAGCTTACCTAATTTACTCTAGTATGATATGATTAAGGCCCAAAACACATGGAAAATCCAAATTTTCTTAAACAAGGCCAAGTTGTGTATTAAGAGAAACTTCTTTTTAATTTTTTTGTTTGTTTTTCTAGGTGATCAAAATTTTTAGGAGCAGAATAATAAATTTTGACTTGTTTAAAAGGCCTATGCACAACTTGATTATGAAAATTGGAAGTAATAATTTTTTTTGTTCTCTTTATAGATTTTCCTCTATTTGTAGATTCAAGGGTTTAGTAGATCATTTGTTGTAGACTCAATTTTTTGAGTATTTATGCCTCATAGATTCAAAGTCTGATTTTTGTTCCTTTGTGACTTATGATGTGTCTATTTTTCTGATATTTGAATTAATTTTAAATATCAAATTACTTTGTACATTTATGTCATCATCATTCATCTTCATTTTGAAAATTGACTTTAAATTATTTACCTTGCAACTTACGAAACTTGATTTGTAGCATTATTTTTATCTGCTTAATGTTGTATTGATTCTGATATTACTTACTATTACACCTCTTCATACAAGCTATGCTCATACTTAGCAGTATTTATGAAGCATTGGATAAAAAGTTCTCCCTAATCTATCTCACATGATCCATGACTTTGACCATCTTGACAGTAACTGATTGCTGGATTACCAAGAATACCCCACTTGAGATTTAGCAGCTGTTTTTCAGGATCCTTCACAAGGTAGTTTGAAAGAGGAGTAAATTGTTTGGTCAATGCAACGTGCCATTTTACTGACGACCACTGCATATCGGGCACAGAGTGACCTACCACACGGCCGGAGAGATGAACAAATCGTGCGCTGACTTTGAGGGTCAATCCTGCTCTGGCTGATGATGCGGTCAGAGCTGTCTGGCGGCGCGCGAGCCAAACAGTGGGCGATTATTCGGCGAGTTCATTCCGGCGAGCAAGGGGAGGAAGGCAATATCTGCCGGTGAACCAGAGTGAGGGCTAGAAGCTAATGTAGTTTCGACAACGAAGATCACTGTAAAAGTGATTATCTCCATAGAAGCGACTCCTCGGAGCACACCTCCTATCTTGGTGGTAGCATGGATCTAGCGGACGATGGCGGGGGATCAACAGCGAGCGGCAGGACGGCGGCTGCGGTGGCGGTTCCTGGTATTTTCTTCTTTCCTTTCTTCTCCTCTTCTTCTGGGAGAAAATGGTGAGAGGGATTCGGAGGAAGCTAGGCTGTGGGCCACCGGAGTTGGAGATGGAGATGGAGACGGAGATGGAGATGAAGATGGAGATGAAGATGGAAATGAAGATGGGCAGCAAGATAAGCTGCTGGATTGCTGCCGGCGGCGATGGTGGTGGCGCTGCCTGCCGGGGAGCTGGAAGGAGCTTACGGGCCCGGATTTGGCACAGAGTTGCGGCGGCCCGTTTCCCTCCGCTAAAATATCTTCCTCCGGAAGCGCCGGAGGCGACTTTGTTTGTGCGCCAAGACTCGGTTTTTTTCACCACCCACAAATTCGCTTGGAGGACCGAATGCCACATAGGGGCCCTTCAACCAGGCCCAGAGCCAGAACAGTCCATAGGGCTTTGGCTACAAAGCCTCGTAGCTGAGGAAGATAAGGGACGAGGGAAAATAATCCTCCGTCTCTGGGGAGCAGCGAGAGATGGAGAGGTTGGCGTTGCTCCGCTCCTTTTCGTGCTCCACCACGGCGGGGAGGACTCTCATTTTCGGGGGTAGAGCGAGGTGCGATCGTTCGTTTCCCGCCCACTTTAAGCAGAGGCAACAATTTCACCAGCACCGACAGCTCCGCCACCCCTTGTCGCAACCCAGCGCCGCCCTCCGGCGGAGATGGGCGGGCGCCGGTGCTTCTCCCGGTCTGAGGAGGGCTTTCTCCTTCTCTCCCCAAGCCGTCTCCACTTCCCCGACGCAGGCGTCACCAGGTGACGTGAGCAAATACCACTGGCTGTAAACTCTGGGCAGGTTTCGTTGTTCACCCGGAAGCTGCTCACCGAAGGAACTGGTCGCAGCGGACTGCTGCACTTTAAAATTTGAAGTTCTCTCATAGGCCATGTCTCCATTTCGTCATTCTCCTCCGTAGAGGTCGGAGATGTTACCCATGTCGTTGGGTGGTTGCTATGAATCAGTCGCAAGTCCTGTGGCGAGCGATCTCCAATCCTTCTTCCTTGTTTTGTTCCATCTGTGTGCTTAGCCTGGATTGTTCCCACCACGAAGTCGCACCAGGGGGCTCCCACCCACCAGTGATTTTTTTTTTTCTCTTCTGTAGTGTTAGTAACTCTATCAAAACCCTTAGGGAGCCTATCTCCTCTCTATCCCCACCATTTGAAAGTGCGCTTTCTTAGCCTTAACTGGTTTGCTTCACGAGGCATCAGTGGATGCAGTTAGATTTTTCTCACACCGCTAAGGATAGATTTTAAGCATCATGCTCTGGCCTTTTTGCTATACAGTTCATATTTATTCTTAATTGTGGGTCCCTGATTGTTATGCTTGAGCTTGGGTCGGTATAATTCTTTACTACTAAGCTTGAAATCATCAATGCTAGAGTAAATAAGGGCATCAATGGTATGACTAGAAACTTCATTTTGATCAGATGAAATCATCGATGTAATGGTATGACCATTACAACAGATATGATCAGAGCAGACAACATTCATGATTCTGAGTCCAGAAAAAATGTGATGCCAAGTGCCCATGTCAAACAAATTCGTGTGAAGCCCTTACATTTTGTTTTCCAAGTGCCGATGTTGATGTGCTATAAGGGTTTGGGTATGGTAGTGTGTTTGCAGAGTTTTATATGCCTGGTTCAACATGGAATGGATGATGATCTAAGGTGCGCCTGGTCGTGGTGTTGTTTGTGGTTTATGAAAATGGTGCCCTGCTTCTTCTGTTTTAAATATTTTCTTCTATTTAATTTTTTTGTTGTCTGTAAAAGTTTTCCACATCAACACACTCTCCAATGTCCAGCAAACTGCTGTGACACTCACCAATTAGTCACTCTAGTCTTCTGATAGCCACCATTGGGGTCGGACCTCAGAGTAACAAATGTATAAAGTCTTTACAGAAATCCAACACAGATCCCAAAAAATGTGGTTAAAAAAATGATATAATCAATTAAGATTATCGGAAGGGAAAGTGGTTACTGTGTGAATTTCATGTTGGCCATTGAAATTGAGGGTTTATGTTTGGACACCGTAATAATCCTTTCATTAACACTTAGTTTTGTTCTCTTTAGCAGGTGCAGATGAAAGCAGTAATATTGCTGAGAAGCTAGGGTTTAAAAAGATATCAGAGGAAGTCATAGATGAATGCAAGTCAACTGCAGTTCTATATAAACACTTGAAGACAGGTGCTGAAATTATGTCTGTGATAAATGACGACGAGAACAAGGTTTTTGGCATTGTTTTCCGGACTCCACCGTAAGTATCAGAATGCTGTTTTTCTTTGTCTTCCTCCCTTCCCCTCATGTATGTAATATTCTATCTTGTACATGAATGTCTTCTATGGTGTGAATTTAGGATAGGTCTATATTCTCCATCAATATTTTTGCTGTCATTAATATACCTACACAGTACATGCACTTGTATTTTAATCGAGTGGAAATGCAGGATCATTTTAGATGAATATACAAATATCTGTGTTCTTTTGTTCTTTGTTGTCTGCAATTTAGCTTTATTGAACTGTGAAGTTTTGGGTAAAACAAGTACGACGTTAATGTCGAAATAATTTCAAGCCGGACAAAGTAGTAAATGGTCCTGATAGTTTCCAAAGTTGAACTCTGCAGTAGGGTGCCCTCGACAATGAACTATGACATCATCAGCAGCGGTCATGATCTTGCCTTCTATGATGTAAAAGGAGCCACCAGTGATGGAGATTTTGAGGAACACTACTGGAGGTTATGGTGATAGGTGAAAATGAGTTCTAAAGCAGTTGAGGGAGTCGCTTAAGTCAAGAACAGTATCTTCATTTGGGTCTGTGGAGGGCTTGATATTGATAGTTGCACTAATGTGAGAGAGAAGCGAGCTTGAATTCACACTTTGATAGATATCGGATATTTATGTCCGCGGAAATGTGGATATGAGATTGATGATGATGTCCATTCTCATATCTGAATTGACACCTAGGACCATGAATGAGTTATGTTAGTGAAGATTCATCAAATAGTGAAAACATTCAGAAATACATATTTAACGGAACCAGTGGTTACTGTGAGTACATAGCACTTTAATTTTGTCTCGTCTTGAATCTGAGTGTTATTTAATGGTTATTGACAGTTAGTATTTTTGAAAATTGGATTTAACTAACAAGGCTGTTGCAATTATTTTGATAGAATCAGAATCGAGAATAGGTTGAGGGAGTGCTAGATAAGCATAGAGAGAAATGAAATTCTGAATTAACACTAAAAAATTGAAAAGAGTATTGTCTATAAATTGTTTTGATAAATACGAAATCATTAATTGGAGAGAAACCTGTGATATTGCAATACACGGGTTTCTAGTTATCTCTCCTCTCTATTAATTTATGGAGATTCTATTGAATCTTATTATATTAGAATCCATTTTGTTCTATTATAGATTACATGTGCTTCCCCTGAAATGGAGGGACTAATCGGGAATGAGGGTTGGAAGTATACCTCTCTACCAATCCAGTTGTTCTCGTTCGATGTGGGCTTAACAATTTCTGTTGCTCATTATTATTAATTTGTTGAGTCGAATGTTGTAGACAGCAGAAGGTATGAGACAGGAAGCTGTCTAATTAAATTAAGAAAGGTCATTTTCTGTGAGATATATTCATGGAGATGGAAATTGGAAAGCCTTATGCTCCACTTAGCTTACTGCCACTGTAAATTTAAGCAGTGGTGGCGTCTCTAGTGTTGAGGGGGGTTTTCATCAGAAAGTTTAAATATGTGGTGGGCGAGTTTCCTCTAGGGAAACGATTAGGACTTGTTATCTATGCTTAGTAGAAGCCTTTGGATCATTCTTGATCTAGTTACGTATTCTTATTGGGTCTACAGAAGCTACTCCAAAAAAGTACTGATCCAATGCCATGGCAGAGTCTAGTCCTTTTTGAAGAGGAATGCCGCCTCTAAGTTTGCAGTGATAATGAAGTTGCAACGGTAGCACTTGAAGAACGCAGGCCTTTGGACTATTTTGAATGTTTGGAGCTCTCAGATACTCAGAGGACAGCCTTGTTCAATAGAAAGAGTGCTCTCTTTCCATTGAGAAGTACAGAGAGGGTGAGGACCCTTTGTTGTGAGGAAAAGAAAACCTCTAGGATCTTGGGGCCGTTGGATGACTAGCTTAGCAGACCATGTCATTGTATATACTGCAGAGATGTGTTACTGAGGTGTTTTGAGAGCATCCTGAAAATTAAACAAATTGCATCTTTCTCGTATGAAATTTCACAGAAAAGGTCTTTTGAGGGGAAAAAAACATTTCTTCATTGATGATCAATGATGAGGCTATTTGTCTGCACTTATTTTCGATGTGTAGTATTGACATTTCGATTACTGCATTACCAGGTATATATGTTTTTCTTTCTCTTGATGTGCATTGAACTTCTAATATCTGAAATTTAGACGTGAACTTTTGTTTGTGACCATGATATGTAAAATGTTAACTTTTCCATTGCTAATGTAATCATGTGTTGAAGTTTCTTGATTCCCTGCACGAATCAGATTTGTAGGGTGCAGCATTAACTTTGTATATCATGCTTAATCCAGGAAGGACTCTACTGGGATACCTCACATTCTGGAACATAGCGTATTGTGTGGTTCAAGGAAGTACCCTTTGAAAGAACCTTTTGTTGAGTTATTGAAAGGCAGTTTGCATACTTTCTTGAATGCATTCACCTATCCTGACAGAACTTGCTATCCAGTTGCTTCTACAAATATAAAGGTGAATACGGTTACTATGATTCTGTTACAGCTGTTTGTACTGTGGTTCGATTTTTTCTGTACTTTAATTTAACCTCAAAATTTTTCTCCAGGATTTCTACAATTTGGTTGATGTGTACCTGGATGCTGTCTTCTTTCCTAAATGCGTGGAGGACTTTCATACATTTCAACAGGAGGGATGGCATTATGAACTTAATGATCCCTCTGAAGAGATATCCTTTAAAGGTATATATGGTCACTACTTCACAATAGAACTCCCCCTTCTATCATATTGAAGATTGTCCTGTGGATGATTCTACTCCATATTTCTATTTTAAAAGTTTATTGATTTAAATTTCAGGTGTGGTTTTTAATGAAATGAAAGGGGTTTATTCACAGCCTGATAATATACTTGGCAGAGTGTGTCAGCAGGCAAGCTTCCTTGAAACCCTTTGTGCAATTCACATTAAGACTGCTTTCATGGATTTATTCTGGGGTTTGGCACAGATCACTAATGTCATAGAACTACTATTTTACCGATGAATTTATTTTACAAATTTGATCCTATGCACATCAACTTTTTTTTATCTAGGCCTCACTAGTTCTCTGTGGACTCTGGTTCTAACCGAATTTTCAGTCTTTTTGGAGTATGCTGGTTACTTCCCTATTGTATCTTTCATGTGGTTTATTCTAAATCAGAATAATAGGTTTCTACGCATGCTCTAGAAAATGTTTTTCCATCTTTGCCACACACGTAGTGTACGGAAGGAAACATTACTTATTATCTTTCCGTTTTTTCTTACTTGCCTGGGATTTTTATTTCTTGATATCATCTGTAATATTGTTGAAAAATTCAATCCACGGCTGTGTGCTTTTTATTAAGTTCCTATCTAAATTTTTCTTCTTATGTTTAATGTCCTGTAGGCTCTCTTTCCTGATAATACATATGGTGTTGACAGTGGCGGTGATCCCAAAGTTATTCCCAAACTGACTTTCGAAGAATTCAAGGTGTGCTTCTTGAAAACTTTTCAGTTACATATCTTCTGTCTTTTCAGATAGCGTATGATTTCATTTTTCTAGATACGTTAGTCTTAAGTCTTAACTTCATGGGCATCATTTAACAGGCTTGTACATAAAATTAATAAGGTACCTCTGTGCGTCATCACCTGGATTACATTTACGATTAGTTAGTTTATTGAAATAATCTATGTATGATGTCAAGAATCTAGTGATTAGCAGATTAAGGTTGTTTGACGTTTGTGCAAAATAATTACTTGGAGTCGGCTTAATTTCCTGCAAAATATATAGCAAGGTTGGTCTATTCCTGGGATTAGATAAAGTTTGATCTGTAGTAGTAGGAACAATACTTTACATGTGATTTTACTCACAGTTATCAAAACTTTACATTTGAAACTGGAAAATGACTTTTGATTGATGAGTTTAAATGGTTTCACGGGTTTATGTATCTTACTGACTAGATCTGACCTGAAGCAAATTTCCAGATGCCTAAATTATGATGTCCAAATTGAATTCTAAGGTTTCTCTCTCTCAATTTTTTTTGTTGTCGTGTAGGACTTCCACCGTAAGTATTACCACCCAAGCAACGCAAAAATATGGTTCTATGGAGATGATGATCCGAATGAACGTTTGCGCATTTTGAGTGGTATGTCCTATCGGTTTGTTGATTCATATAATCGAATGCTTTCCTTTGATTCATACAATCTCTCGTATTCTAGATTGTCTTTATACGAACTGGAAGAACTGATTTTTGCTTTGTTTAACGTCAGTTCTCTAAGATGGTTCACACCCAAATTCATAAACATATAAAATCACTTTTTATTGATGGCACTCTGCATACTACTCCACTGAATTTGAGGGCACCATTTGAGATAACCGAAGAGGGATTTTATTGTATCCTCTAGGAACATCCTTAAATCTAGAAGATGAAAGTTATGCTAGTGGGCACAAAAGTAGGGTCTTTGACAGCACTTGAGGTGGAATCTGTCTGAGAAAGGCTATACAAGAAATACACAATCCTCTCATTGCTCGTTTCAGTAGTTTACGTGGTGAGTGCAAAATTTTGCTGCAAATGAAACATAAAGTTGATAATAGGTATCGATTGTGTTATAGGTATCGATTCACTTATTTTCAAATTCTGAAAACGAAAAGCGGATCAAGAGCCATGCAGTGTCCTAAAAAACCAGGATTAACTTGTTGGTGTGTTCTCCATGTGCTATCATCCTTATTAACTTGACAATATTCTAATTATTATCAATTGTTGACTAAAGAATTTCTAAACCAGATGGGGACAATCAACTTCACTTATCAAACTCGTATGCTCTATATTGACTAATTTCTTCAGTCGTTTGTTTCTTTGTAAATAAGTTTTGGACTTAGGTCTTCAGTTTGTAGCAGTCTATGCCAAAGAGCTATGTTTTATATTCCACGAAATGGATCCCATTTGTATGCATCTACTACGTTCTTCTTTCCTCCATGCCTGTAAATACAAAGTGACCACTCTTCTTGTAGCACTCATTTCATTTTTTGGCTTACCATTTCTTCAGCATCTTTTCTGGTGTCCTTACAATATCAGATAAAATAGACGGTGTTGAAGAAATTCCATACGCAGTGATTGTTAATCACCTCATTGAAGACATTAATCTCCTGAAAGAATTGAATTCACCCTTTTGTTGTTGTGTATGTTTCATTGATGATCACTTAGTAATTTGGGTTGTTAAAACTTATCTTTTGCATCTGGCAATAATGTTAAATGTTTTATGCTATCGTTATGGTATTTTGTTCAATTGTAGTGCATTTGATATCAATTTTATGGTTTTCTCACGCCTGAATATTTCACCTTTTTCGTTGACTAGACGAGGGTTCGCATTTGTCCTGCATGATTTCTTCCTTTAAGATTTTTGATTTAATAATATCCGTTGTTGGATGATAATAAATGAACTTAATTCATGACAAATTATGGCAGTAGAATACTTAGTAATGGGAGTTATCTCACTAGCATTTATTGATTGTTGGGCGGATTTTTGGCAATTAATGACGGCCTTGATATTTTTTCTATCTTATGCAGCCAATCTTGATCAGTATGATAAGAGCCCTGTTTCTAATGAGTCAAGGATTGAACCTCAGAAGCTCTTTTCAACGCCAGTTAGGGTAATGGAGAAATATCCTGCTGGTGAAGGTGATGACAATAAAAAGAAACACATGGTCTGCCTGAACTGGTTGCTATCTGCTGAGACATTAGATTTGGAAACTGAACTCGCAATTGGGTTTTTGGATCACCTTTTGCTTGGTACACCAGCGTCCCCACTTAGAAGGATCTTACTTGAAAGCAGGCTGGGAGATGCAATTGTTGGTGGTGGAGTGGGAGATGAGTTACTTCAACCTCAGTTCAGTATTGGGTTGAAAGGTGTAGCTGAGGAAGATCTTCAAAAAGTAGAGGAGCTGATCATGAGCACACTGAAAAAATTAGCGGCAGAAGGGTTTGATTCTGAAGCTGTAGAAGCCTCTATGAACACTATTGAGTTTTCCCTCAGGGAGAATAACACAGGGTCATTCCCCCGAGGCCTATCTTTGATGCTTCGTTCCATTGTAAGAGATTCTCTTCAGGCATGACATGCAGTACAAATCCGATTCTTCTACTTCAAATTTCATCTTACTATTATTTTCTTTTTGTAGGGAAAATGGATATATGACAAAGATCCTTTTGAACCGTTAAAATATGAGAAGCCCTTACAGTCTTTGAAAGCCCGGATAGCTGCAGAAGGCTCTAAGACTGTCTTTTGTCCATTAATAGAGAAATTCATCCTAAATAACCCTCATTGTGTTACAGTTGAAATGCAGGTATATAGGCTCATGATGAATTTAAGAATAAGCATCTCAGTTTAGTTTGTGTGCTTATCAGAACGTTTTGTTTCTCAGCCGGATCCTGAGATAGCATCTCAAGAGGAAGCAGCTGAACGACAGATCCTTGAAAATGTGAAGTCAAGTATGACACAAGAGGATCTTGCGGAGCTTGCACGTGCTACTCAGGAGCTGCGTTTGAGGCAGGAAACACCAGACTCACCAGAGGCTTTGAAATGTGTTCCCAGTCTTTCTCTTGATGATATCCCCAGGAAACCTATACAAGTTCCGACGGAGGTAAAATAAAGTTTCTGATTCCAAGCTTAATACTTGAAGATATGATTGAACATACAAGTTTATCCATCTCCTCTCGAGGAAAGAAGAGATCTGTGTTTATACTTTGTTTCTAAGCAACGAGAAGAAAGCTGAGTATGCTTGGTACATAATGCAGAGCGTTTTGTTCACGTTTTTGGAGTTGATGTTCTAAGTTCTTTTCTCATGCTTATGCATTCCTGTTACCTAGGATTTGATTCTGACTAAGGTTATTAACACGCTGTCACATTTTTTGTGACTGTAGATTGCAGAAGTCAACGGAGTGAAAGTTTTGCAGCATGATCTTTTTACGAATGATGTTCTATACGCGGAGGTTGTATTTGATTTGCGCCATTTGAAGCAAGATCTTCTTCCACTGATACCCTTATTTTGGTGAGAAATGTTTCAATTAATGTTATTATTTACATAGAAGAGTTCAACTCCTGGTGTTTTTCAGTTTGCATTCTACCCTCAAAATCACATTGTATTCGTTTTTGATTTGTAGTTAATGCTTAATGGTGTTTGACAGTCAATCTTTGCTCGAAATGGGAACAAAAGACCTTGACTTTGTTCAGCTGAACCAACTAATTGGAAGAAAAACCGGGGGTATATCAATTTATCCTTTCACTTCATCTGTGAGAGGGAAAGCAGAACCATGCAGTCATGTCATTGTCCGTGGTAAGGCGATGGGAGGACGGGTGGAGGATCTATTTAACCTGGTATTTTACTATCTCTATTGTTGTTTACTATTATTCTCAGCTTCTTTTCTTAATTTCATTCAAGAAGCAGGTTTATTCATTTTATAATACGGGAATGAATGGCATATCTCTAGTGAGTAATGAATGTCTCAATGATCTGTAGACGAGGGGGGACATTGTCAGACTCTGCCCATTGCAGGAGGACAATGATGCGGGAGATCATGTTCAGCATCCTAATTATAGGGGTTACATGAGGCTTTTAAAGGGGCTCTCTTAGATCTGGCTTGGAAATGCCAACCGTTCCCATGATTAATAGTCTGAAATTTCGGCCTTAAAAATAGTGAAAAGGGTTGGGATGCACTCGGGGCTTCAGTAGTTATGGATGGTGGATGTCCATGCACGTTGGTTGGCTAGTTTGGAAACTTTCTAAAGCACCAAAGGCAAAGTTCATGATGTAGAGAGGTGGTCCAACTGAGGTTTCTTCTGTTGTGTTCTATCAAGAAAATTATCTCCGCATGATTTCTGGATTCTTATTGTAGGGTATTGATATCATTAATGAAATTTGTATCGTTACGAATTTAATCACTTATATATGATTGTTTCGACAATAATGCATGCTAGATCTGCTAAAAAGTGTAGAAAATGGAATAAGCTGTACCTGGTGAGGTGATCGTAGGCTTGTAGCTGTAGCACTTATAGAGACCTCAGAAAAAAGTGCGAGTCCTGAAACTACTTTTGATAAACTTCAATCGAAATCGTCCTGCAACATTTTGGTGTCACAGACGAGATGGAGGACTTTATTTCATCTAAGCAATCACAATACAGTTGATACCCTTTTCATGGCATCAACTCTTCATTAGTTTACCTAATTGGGTGTTTCCATAACAACAAAACTATTGCATTATCTTTTCCAGATTAACAGGTAAATTCAAATATCTGGAAGAAGCCTATAAAATGATGCTTTCATTCTCATGCTTCTGCAAAAATCACGGATGGTCATCCTTCGAACATCAAATTAAAATTTTATTTGGCCAGCCCAATGCCCATATTGAGACTTTTCATGTGTCTATCTTTCCATGAGTGTCAACTAATTCTTTTTACTGTAAAAGATCCGTCTTTTTATTAAAAGCTGTGGTGCTCAGGTTAAAAACCATAAGTTGAAAAACTTCACTTCTTAGGACCCTTTCAATGATACTCTAATGGGCTTTTCTGTCATTTGTGGACAATCGGGGAGATTTCTGTCGGTTATGGGTCTGGAAGATTATTGTTAGGGCAGACCTCAGGCATTATTGAATGATATAGGATATTATGTGTCAAATGCAGTGGCTCCCACTCTCCAATTTGTGTAGCATTTGGTTGGCCTTGGTCTAGCAAGGGCTAAACAGCCTGATGATTCCAGAAGACATCTGATGCTGGTGATTTTGAGCCATTTTAGTAGACTCTGTTGTTTTACTCTATCCTTTTTTAATTTAGGTTAATTAAAGATATAGTCAACTGTGTTGACTTGTTTCGTCATGTTATGCTCTTTGCATTTTGAGTGGCAACTACCAACCTACTGTACCATTTTCTTAAAATGTCAGTACTGTTTGGCTCTTGCAGATCAGGTGTATCCTCCAGGATGTTCAGTTCACAGACCAACAGCGTTTCAAGCAATTCGTTTCCCAAAGTAAAGCCAGAATGGAGGTAATCTCAGACACCCTTTCGGTAGACAGAGGCTTTCCCGACTTCCATTATATCTTACAGGAACTACTTTTTGGATTTGTAGAGCCGTCTGAGAGGCAGTGGTCATGCCATTGCAGCTGCAAGGATGGATGCTAAACTGAATGCTGCGGGATGGATATCTGAGCAGTTTGGTGGAATTAGGTTAGCTGATTTCTTAGATTGGGTTTTTAGTTCATGTTTGTGCATGTTTAATGGTGCTAGTTTTTCTTTGACTAATAGTGCTGAAACGAAGAAAAAAATATATTCGTCTTTTTGAGTGTTGTTCTGAGAGAAAAGCTTGATAAAATACTGAATGTTGATCCTCTGCCAAGAGAGCCTTTTGGACTACATTGGATATTGACATATGCCGAGATATAAGCTGTTGTACTTCATGTTGATGATCTATCTATATTTACTTTTGTTCATCAATTTTTTTTTTCTATCGCTGGTTGTAGATGTGGCTATGCTGGGTGAGAAACCTTGAGTAATGACTTACTTTCTGCAGAGGTAGACTGACCTTAAAACTATAGTTGACAAAGTATGATGTATTAACTGATATATTAGTGAATTTAAATTTTTCTTATCTTTGGCCACAGCTTATTACAGTGATGTAACAGAGCTGTTGGACATAATGCTTGCTTAAATTATTTTATTCTAAAGCTTATTAGTTGGTGACATGAAAAAAATATTTTCTTTGCATGCGTGCGACATGAAGTTATTCTATTGTGGAAAGGATGCTTATGATGTTTCCCCTCCTCTTATTTGCTCAGTTATTTAGAGTTCTTACAAGACCTTGAGAAGAAGGTTGATAAAGAATGGTCCGAAATTTCTTCTTCACTGGATGCGATACGTAGTTGTCTTCTCTCGAGGGAAGGTTGCATAGTCAATATGACAGCAGATGGGAAGATACTTACAGAGTCAAGAAAATACCTTGCTGGGTTCATTGATGCCATTCCAAGCGCACCATCCCCGGGGGCTACCTCCTGGAGTTCTCTTCTTTCACCCATCAATGAAGCCATCGTTGTTCCCACTCAGGTTCCATTCATTTTGGAAATTCTCAGCGGTGCCCATGGTAACATTTATTAGATATGAGATGTTTTCCTCGTGCACTTTCAGGTTAATTACGTTGGAAAAGCTGCCAACATTTATGAGTCTGGGTATCAGCTCCACGGGAGTTCATATGTCATTTCAAAGTACATTGGAAACACCTGGTTGTGGGACCGTGTCCGAGTGAGTGGGGGTGCATATGGTGGCTTCTGTGATTTTGACACTCATTCTGGTATGTGATTGCTATTTTCCATTGCATGCAGATGAATTTTTGATCCACTTTGCTCAGTTTATTGGGTTACCTTCCCCTTATTTCCTATTGGTTTATTTTTTTTTGCAGGAGTTTTCTCATATCTGTCCTACCGTGATCCAAACCTGTTAAAGACACTCGATGTGTACGATGCAACTGCAAATTTTCTCCGTGAGCTAGAGTTGGACGACGATACTCTCACCAAGGCAATCATTGGGACAATCGGAGATGTGGATTCATATCAGCTACCTGATGCAAAGGGTTACAGCAGGTGAGAGTTTCTTCTCTACTCACTTGATGGAAGTCTTTAGTTGCCATCTATATCTGGCTGCAAAGTTCCAACATTTTTTAAACAAGAGAGGAAAGCATCTCACAACAGGATTCGTCCTATCTTGAGAAACATAGAACCCTTTGCAACGCAGGTTATGAGTTCTCAAGTGACATAGTAGGCTACCTCATAAGTTTCAAAGTAATGGGTGATGATCGCCATGAAACCGAGCTTAAACCATGTGATAAATCACATGAGAGGATCTCTCAGCAGGCCATCTAGGTGTGGTTGTGATCCTTAGTAATGTAGGCTTGTAAGTCTCACATAATAAAATCTACACATTTGGACACCAAATTTTGTGGCAATAGTGTTGTTATCTTCTCAACTCTTTGTATTCCATGGATCTCATGCACAGCTTGTCAAATGATGATAACATTATGGTTGAGTTTTCAGTCTGATGAGGCACTTGCTGGGCATCACAGAGGAGGAGAGGCAGATTAGGCGTGAAGAAATCTTGTCGACTAGGTAAGTCAGCCTCCAGCGAGGGAATGGCATTGCCTTAGCAACTGGGATCTCACTGGGTATCTCACCTTGCAGCGTGAAGCACTTCAGGGAGTTTGCAGATGTCATTGAGGTAGTGAAAGATAAAGGAATTGTGGTAGCCGTGGCATCTGCTGACGATGTGGCCAAGGCAAATGAGGAGAAGGGCGGGTTCTTTGAAGTCAAGAAGGTTCTGTGACCGCAAGCATGGCTTCTGTTGTGTTTCTCTCACTTGTTCTCTCTCTGGCAGCAGAACTGCAGCAAGCCTACTTGGCACTGAGCACTGGATTAACAAGGTTGACAGTTGTGAAAGGTGCGTTGACCATCGCCTCTTCTCTTGATCATCCATGAGATTTCATAAGTAATCGATCCAACTTAATGATCACCTCTGACTGAACACAGTCTGCCTCAGCTGAGGCTACTAGGAAGAATATTCTGAGAGAGTAGGGGCTTCGTTTTGACTTCAGAATCTCATCTTCAAATCATTAATGAATACTCAGCGTTGACCCGTTCCTCTTCTCGCCATTCAAGTCACCAGAGTTATAACTTGGCAAGCTAATTGCATCAGACTGTGAGCTGTTATTAATGTGGCCTTTGTTTCCTCTGCTTTCTGTTATATGCAGACTTGAACGGACATGAAGAGCATCACTTCTACCCGCGAGATCAGGGATTTTAATGTGAAACACTGGATCTAAAATGGTGATTGATGAGCCTATCTTTCAGTTACTAGATTGTGAGTGATTCTCGTATACCTTCAATGTACTTGAATCATACCAGAGCTATATAAGAAGATTGCATCATCAGAAGCCCATTGGAGGCAATCTTGGCTGCTCATGATCTGCAATGGCGAATGTAAAATCCTCTTTATTTACTCAGTTCTCCAAGTATTTTCCAAACGGTGGGGTCATCTAGTAAGGTTGGCTGTGAACTCAGAGTCGAAAGTATATCTGCATTACTTAGTAAATGTGGCAGAAAGTATGGTTTCTCCCACCTCTCTTTCCTTGTCCTACTATTGTGCCTCTCTCATGGCATCTCAGTGGCCTGGGGAGACCAAAAGCTTGGGGGGACCGAGTGATGCAGGCAGAGTGAGCGTACCTCCAAAGCTCTTAGCACCGTGTAGTAGGCCCCTCCCATTAATAGGGAATAGCCTCCACTTGACGGGACGTCTTAACTACTGTATCGTGCACAGTAGCTTAACGGCACAAGTTCCGACAACCACAGTGTCGCACCATGGCGCCGTCTCAGCGCGCGTACCCGCACAACACTGTGCACTACCGTCCGTGCACGCCCATGCCATCCGCACTGTGCTGTCTCTGTCATGCCTGTCGAAGTTCAGGGGAAGCATGCTGGTTCCATGCAGCTGCCGTTTCTATGCCATCTCAATGATGTGCCATGCAAGTTGTGCATCTCCTACGTGTGGGCATGCCGTGCCATATCACTGTACACTCTCGCGCACATAGTGCCGGCTAGTGCCGTGCTGTGCCATGCTAGCATGCCCACCACACATACACCGCACACTCACGTACACTCAGACATGCGCCGAGGTTCCGCTAGATGAACCTTGCTCAACTGAGCAGGGGGGTGATAATTTAACCACGGTGGACGAACAAACGTTCGGCTATGATCCAGCTTTCTCTCTAGAAACTTGATATGTGTCTTGTTCCCACGTGACCTTGTGAACTCTGGGGAGGACAGACTTTATCAATTCCTGTCACCTCATTATCAACGAGTTTGCTGCAAAGCTTACTAGCCCTGCGTGCATGCTTTTACCAATCCCGTCGCATGGCTTCAAACAACTCACTCGTTGACTTTTTGTAAGTGCACTGAGTTGTTGGAGACATATTTGCAAACCAGTTTTGGGAAGACAATGATAATCAGAGTTGTCGATACTAGAATTCTCCCCAGTCACTCCATCGATTGCCTCTGGAAAATCAAAATAATTCATGGAGGGACCTTCTTCTTGGGGTTTTTGATATAAGTGGAGGAAGGTCAATGTCTATGGCCATCTAAGGTTCAAGTAATTTTGTTTTTTTACTCATCCACACGAGGGTTTCTGGCAGGTCACATCCTGAGACGAATTAATGCTTAAGATGATTTTCATGAGACCTGGATTTCTTCCCCTATGAGACGATTTTCAACTCCAATGACGTTTTAAAATTTTAAAACACAATTTGATGTATTGGCATGGTAGAAGTTAGGATAGAACAGAAACGAAGCATTGACTCTATAAGGCACAATCTCTTCAATCTATGAGTTCACAAGAAATTATTTTGATGATGCTATAGTCCATAAAGGTCAAAATGATGCTCCTTGAGTCCACAAGGATCTGATAGTATTCATAAGCCAGCAATGACCACCTAATACAAAAGAAGCTGAGGAAGAACCAAAACTTGGGCCTTGATTCTATAAGTTGTAAGCTCCTCAGTCCTTGGGTCTATAATGACTGATTTCAATGACTTTTGAATACAAAAGAATCAGAATGATGCCCCTTGGATTCACAAAAATATCACAAAGAGAATGAAAACACTACTATTAATTGTCCCTCTAAAACTAAAATGGGCTAGCCTTTGAAAGCAAAATATGTTGATCACAAAATCAAGGATAAATTAGTAATTTCATGCTTAAAGGTATTTTAAACTGTCCTAAGCCTTGTATGAGAATACTAATCATTGATATGCCAGAAGACACATTAAATAATGGTATTGTATATGAATTAAGAAAAAAAATGGACAAAAAGCCAAAACCAAAAAAGAGTTAAATGCCTAAAGGAAAAAAGGCAAAAGGAAAAAAAAGAAAAACCAGGAAAAAGCCTAAAAGTATGTTAATCTTAGATTTTTTTCCTTCACATGAATAGAATCATTTGGCTACTTTGAATCGTCTAAAAACCATATCTGCATTCTCTCAATATATGAAAACATTACATCTTTTCACGAGAGACATCATCCATCCACTTTGGACCCTCTATTCAACTCTTTCAAAGGCACAATTCTCTTTGCATTCTCCTATGTATGAAACTCTTCACAAAATTCATAAAATTGTTTTCTCCTAAAGCATAAATATTTGAAAATCTCTCTCAATCTATGGTAGTCATTTTATGAGCATGAGATCCTAATTGCTTTTTCTGCTGACAAAAAGAGGGAGGAGTTGTGTGTTATGGAATAATTGAGTAGAATTTGAGTGTTCAAGTGTGATTAGAATTTACCAAATAATAGTGTAGAATACCCTTACATTTTATCTTGATTTAATAGTGGATAAATGAGGACAGATAAATGTATTATTGGACTTGAAATTATAGGGTAATAGGTCAATAGCCATGGGGCTCAATACTCAAGTGCCTATAAGATGTAGATAGTGGGCCTTATGATTAACAAGTATTAGATCTAGGATAAATAGATCTCTTTAAAATTGGATCCAAAGCCTAAAAAATATGAAACCCTTTAAATTGTCCATAAACCTAAATGAAATAGATCTTTTTAAAATAGGGTCTGAATCTTAAAGGATATGTTGTATGTTTGCTTTCTATAGACCCATTTCTCAGCCTAATAACCTATGAAATCTTAAAAATCAGCATCTCACATAAACCCAAATCTTAATATTTTTTATCTTTTTGACAGCTAATTGTGATAAATAAAATAAGAATAAGAATAAGAAGAAGTGGAGGAGGATGACCAACTTCATCTAGGCCACTATTCTTGAACATCTCAACAAAAAGAAGACCACCATGATCCACACAATTACCTAATCACAATGATGAAAGAAGACAAAAAAAAAAAATTAAGGATAAAGATGATGATGAGCCCTATGATATGACCCTAGTTATTAAGAATTTTAGATGGAGAAGAAATACCCAAATGGCCGGCCCATGGCCCAAATAGGCCCATCTGTAGCACAGATCAACACAGCTCTTAAGACCAAAAGGTAACTTTTAAGTTGTTAAGAGGGATTACAAGGGTGGTTGAAAGTCTTAACAGATGGTTGTTGAAAGGATGAGAACCTAGTTATAGAGACAATGCTAAACTAAGTAGAGAAATGCAGAGAAGGTTAAATGGTGAAAGATGAGGTAGTTAAATGGTTAGATGCTGTAACTATTTACCCTATTTCTCATAGCTAATGGGTCAGACTTAACTAGTTCCAAAGGAATCAAGTTCAACAATAATTCAAAATGAGAGTGGAGAGTACATATTTATTATGGATACTTAGTATAGTGACAAAGAAAGATCATTTTCTTCTTCTACTTATGAATCAAATTATAGAAAACTTAGCAAGAAAAAAATATTTTTCATTTTTAGATAGATAATTTACTTATAACCAAATTACTAATTATCATGAAGATCAAGAGAAAACTACATTTACATGTTCTTATGTAACATTTGCATTTAGAAGAATGTCCTTTGATTTATGTAATGGACCATCTATTTTTTTTTGATGTATGATGTTTACTTTTTCAGATATAGTTATTGAAATGTTATAAGCTTTTATGGATGATTTTCAGTGTTTGATAATTATTTTGATACTTTTTTATATAATTAAAATAAAGTTCTTTCTAGATGTGTTGAAGCAAATCTAGTTCTTAGTTGCAAAAATAGTAATTTCATAGTTAAAGAAGTCATAGTCGTGAGACACATAATTAGTGAACAAGGCATAAAGGTGGAGAAAGCTAAAATAGAAATTATATTTAATTTTCCTTCAGCCTTTTCTACCAAGCAAGTTTCATCATTTCTAGGATATAGGCTTTTATAGAAGATTCATTAAAAACTTCCCTAAAATCTCATTGTCTTTGACTTTAGTCCTAACCAAGGACATATTTTCACATAAATGTTGCATGTTTAGAAGCTTTCAGTACTCTTAAGCAGACATTGAATGAAGCATATATTTTACAAGCTCCTAACTGGTCATTACCTTTTGAGATTATGTGTGATGCTTCTAGTTATGCTATAGATGTTGTTTTAGGTCAGAAAATTGACAAGAAACCGGTAGTAATTTTTTATGCAAGTAGAAGTATAACAGAAGCCCAAATAATTTACACTATTATTGAAAAACAATTGTTAGATGTAGTTTTTACTCTAGAAATAAGTTTATCATATATTTTAAGGGCAAAAACCATTATTTATTCAGAACATTTAACATTAAAACATCTAATCACTAAAAGAGAGGCTAAACCTAAACTTATTAGATGGATTTTATTACTAAAAGAATTTA